TAGATCTACGCTACTTAATATGTCGGACGTTCTTTGTGTGTATGCTCGGTTGTCGACCTTGATCCAGGCTGGAGCGATCTGCGGGACAAGGTGCTGGCGCGGCCGCTCGTGTTGAGCGAGGAGCCGGAGAAGGCGACAAAAATCTTGCAGCCCTGGATTTTGAACGAGGCTGTGGTGCAAGTGCAGTTGGTGACACACGTCGCCTTGACGGCAATCGTCCATAGACTTGGCAGGTGTAGGTTGGCGCGAAAGACGCGATCGCTCCGGACTTGCCCGACGTTGAACCAGACGCACGTGCGGAACACGGGCCAGAGGTTGCGGAACGCGTGTTGGTGCATGCTGGAGACTGTCTTGGGCGTCAAGTAGATGTAGTCCGAGAGCGTTGTCGGCAAGACCACGCCCAAGGGAGGCCGTGACCGCGTGGAGCGTGTCCCACACGTCGTGGATGAAGCTGCAGTCTACGAGGAAGTAGCCGAACGTCTCGTGCCCCCAAAGTTGCTTATTCCGCTGGTAAAATTAGGCAAATTCCCTACAACTGTGGACCATGCACACTACTATAGTCTGTCAACTCTTGCACAAGTAGCCAGAGAGATCGTATTCAATAAACATATTTGGTGAGAAGGTAGCGAATGGACCCTCAACAAGGGTTTTTACCCTAGCCCTCAAGCAACGAATATACCTCTCATTCCAACGGCATTTTCTCGTTGAATGTTCGAATCTGACACGCAAAGTATCGCCTCGTCCCAGTCGCACCATGCCCCATGAGATCCTAGCCCAGAGCCCGACCATTTATGTACTGAAATAAGGCCACAAGCTGAGATCGTATAGCAAACAAACGCGCTGTAGTTTTGATAATGATGTCATCGCGACGTCTTTGCGCGTATACTCGACGTGTGCTTCTTTGCTAACTGAAGCTCTTTCGCCGTCGCAGCGGGCTTGATGATGGGGTTGAGTGGCTGGATTGGCTGCTTCTTGGATGGCGACCTTTGCTTGTACTTGTCGTTGGGCGACGGAAGCGGGACCTTGGCTTTTGGTATGATAGGCAACGCCGCGCGCTTCGCCTCGAGCGTCAGCCGCATTTGGTCGGTCTTATAGAGCTGTGCAGCCACGAGGCGCATTTGGCTGGTCTTGTAGAGGCAGCTGCAAAGTTGGTCTTCGAGCGTAATCGGCGGCTCCCGCCCCAGGTGCGAGTGCATGTACTTGCGCCACATGTCGATCTTGCGCTCGCGGTACGTGATTTGGTACCACTTCCACCACCCGAGCGTGTGCTGCAGCATCTTGTTTTGGAATTGAAAGAGCGGGTAAAAGACGAGTGGGAACTGGACGTTGATCTCTTGGAACTCATCGTGGTCGAGGAGTCCGTCGTTGTTCTTATCAAACGACGCCATCGCTTTGCGAAAGTTGCCATCGAAGAACCCTTTGCCCTTGACCTGGATCGCAGCGCACATGTTGAGAAACTCGATAGGGTCCAACGCGCCTACTCAACTTTGTCCATTCGTCCTCGTCGCTGGCCAGCAGCGCACCCGATTCATCTTCGTCAAACGTCTCGAAGCAAAACGTCACGACCTCGCGCGGCCGCATGCGCACAAATTTGCAAATGATTTCGACAAAGTCGTCGATTTCGAGCTTCTTGGGGTCTTTTCGCGCCGGCGCCAGGCGAAGCACGCCGAGCGTATACGCGTTTTGTGGCGAGTCGAGAAGGTGGTAAAACTCGACCTACGACAGCGTGTATCAGTTGTCTGTCCACGAAGACAATGATATTCTGATGGCGATTATTCGCACCAAGTTGATGAGACCGCTACGCAAGACAGAGCCTCTGAGACGCAGAATTTGGAGCATTCGATACGTACGAGCAGTTGACATCAATGTCATTGAAGATTGCGATGAGCTTGCCGACCTCTTGGAGGCTCATGCCCATGGCGAAGCACAGATCTTCGGTGTCGCGACGCGTAAACTGCGGCCCAAAGATGCCCACGGGTACTTCGAGCAGCTCCTCCAAGCTGGGTTCGTCGGGTGGTGGCGCTGCCGGCTCGGCACTTGTCTCTGCGGGCTTTGCAGCGTCGTTGGCTACTGGCGGCGCTGTCTCCTTCTCCTTCGAGTTGCCTTTGCCCGGTGACTTGGCCTCGCTCGCGTTGTCGTTGGATTTAACCGCAATCTGCTTGGCACTTGCCGCGGAAGGCGCGTACTTGGCCGCCTTCTTGGGCGAGCGCTCCGGCGAGACTGGCGGCTTTGTGGCCGAGTTCTCTGGGGTCAAAGGGTCTTGGCTCGTCGGCACGACCGCCTTGGCCATCGCGCGGCCGATAAGCGCAGTGAAATATCTATAACTAGTCGCCGGTTACACTCGAGACAACTAGCAAATGTGAGCGCAAAGAAAGATCGCGGTGATCCACCAATCAGAAGCGCGCATTTCCCTCGCGTGGATTTGATTTCATTGGCGACGATGGAGACGACGTCCGACTTCAAGCGCATCCTCGTGACGGGCGGCGCCGGCTTCCTCGGCCTGCACCTCTGCCGCCGCCTCCTCGAGATGGGCCACGACGTCATCTGCCTCG